AAACCCTTTTGTTGGAATGCTTTTACACACTTTCCACAGGAACAGAAACTAAAAAGAAACCTTGTTATACAATAGTCACAAATACGTCTCGAGTTTTTTGCCCATACACATGAGTATTTGTCTAAAAAACATGTCTTCTTTGCTAGCAGCTAGGCCCCTGCCACCACTTTGCTTGGCTGAGTTCACAAATCTGTTGTAAATGCCTGTAGCTTCCCTTGTCACTTCTCTTGGCTCTCCTTCTCCTGCTAAGCTTTGTTTCCTAATTAAGAGATCTTCTGCACTGCCAATAGCTTAACTTGCCTGCCTTTGCTGGAACCCGCCATAGCCACCCTTGGTTTCAGGTTGGTTTTGCAAGTATTGACCTCCACGCGCGCATAGGGGCCAGAGCTTCTTGCCTCCAAAATTTCCTCCCTTCTATGCCGGTCGGGAATTCCGAAGACTGTTGTGCCCCCGGTATCGTGATGTGGTATGTGAATGCCAAAAAATCTGAGGTAGGCTAATTCTCTAACCTCCCAACAAAAAGTTGGAACTTCACATCATACCAAATCCATTATCAGCCTCCCCACTGCCACTCATACCACACACCACGGCTGACCACCAAAAGCACACCAACGACCACTGAGTTCCTCACGACCGCGGAAGTTGTCATTCTCCACCGAAAACCCACGCCTCCACGACCACCCCAAAGTTTCCAGAACCACTTCGACCCTTTTGCTGGATGAGCACTCGCCATTCTCTTGCTGTTGACAGGGCTTGTTGTCCGAACTTCACAGTTGGCCATTCCACCAGTATGGTCATTTCTGATGACAATCTTATCACGGAGTCTTGGTCGTCAAAAGGTTACAAAGCAAAGGCCCCTTTTTTTCTTGCCATCTGCCTCGCCGAGGTCAGTCATGATTTCAATCACTTCTAATTTTCCCATACTGTTCAAAATAATCTCTTAGGTGATGGTTCTTCGGTGTCTCTTGGCTCCTCAGGCTCTCATCGGTTGTTTCAAAGCTCAACCCTCCAATGAAGAGCTTCCTCAGCTGTTCGGGCTCTTTAGGAGACTCTGACTTAGACATGACGGCAGGGAGAAGAGAGACTTTAACGATGCTTCTTCGGCGGCGTCCACGGGCAGAAAGGAGCCTAGACTATTAATGGTCAAGGATTCTATCTATGAAATCCTTGTTCCACCTACCACCTACTTGCTTTGTCATCTTCTACAAATTGCTTTATTTCTCTCAAATTCAGCCACCTCATTTTTAAAATGTAAATGATAATAGCACTCTGCCTCATTGAGTTGTGAAAATTAAATGAGTTATTACAGTCAAGGCACAAAGAATAGTGCCTAGCATATCCTAACTGCTAAAAAGCTGTTAGCTATTATTATCATTATGCTATAATTACTATTTTAAAACTATCATTATTACAAAACATGATGCAAACTGACAGAATTGATGGGCGAAATACACAGTTATGCAATAATAGTTGGAAGCTTCAGTACAACACTTCAAATCTTAGATAAAACATCTAGACAAAAGACCAATAAAGAAATAGAGGCCTGAAATATTAAACCATCTAAGCCTAACAGACATATATAGAACATTCCATTCAACAACAGCAGAATGTACATTCTTATCCAGTGCACATGGAACATTCTTCAGGATAGACCATATATTAGGCTTTACAAGTCTCAATAGATTTAAAAAGAGTGAAATCATACAAGGTATCTTCTCTGACCGTAATAGAATAAAATTAGAAATCAATAAAAGAAGGAAAACTGGAGAATTCCCAAATATGTGGCAATTAAACAACAAGAACAACCAACGGGTCAAAAAAGAAATCAAAAGAAAAATTAGGAAATACTTAGAGATGAATGAAAAGTAAATCACAACATATCAAAACTTATGGGATACAGTGAAGGCGCCCTCAGAGGAAAATTTATAGCTGTAAGTGCCACTACTTGGCCCGATGTGGTGGCTCATGCCTGTAATCCTAGCACTTGGAGAGGCCAAGGTGGGTGGATCGCTTGTGGCCATGAGTTCAAGACCAGCCTGGCCAACATGATGAAACCCCATCTCTACTAAAAATACAAAAATTAGCCAGATGTGGTGGTGCATGCCTGTAATTCCAGCTACTCAAGAGGTGGAGGCATGAGAATCGCTTGAACCCAGGAGGCGAAGGTTAAAGTGAGAGCCAACATGGTACCACTGCACTCCAGCCCAGGAGACAGTGAGATTCTGTCTCAAGAAACAATAGCAAAAAGAAAACAAAAAAAAAACAACCACACAACGAAAATCTTAATACCTAACTTTACACCTTGAGGAACTAGAAAAAATAGTCAATTAAACCAAAAGCTGGCAGAAGGAAGGAAATAATGGTTAGAGCAGAGATAACTAAAATAGAGTATAGAAAAACAAGAGACAATAAAAACAAAAGTTGGTTCTTTGAAAAGGAAAAGAAAATGGACAAACCTTAAGCTAGACTGACAAGGAAAAGATATAAATATCTAAAATCAGAAATGAAGTTGGAGACATTATTACTAATATTACAGAAATAAAAAGGATTGTGAGAGAATACTATGGACAATTGCACACCAAGAAATTAGATAACCTAAATGAAATGGACAAATTCCTAGAAACACACAAGTTACCGAAAGGACTCAAGAAGAAATGTAATTTCTTAGACTTACAGCAGATTGAATGAGTAATCAAAAACCTTCTAAAAAGGAAACATCCAGGACTACATGGCTTTAGTGGTCAATTCTACCAAACATTTAAAGACAAATTTACACCAATTCTTCTCAAATTCTTCCAAAAAATAGAATTGAAGGGAACACCTCCTGTCTTATTCTGAGGCTAGCATTACCTTGATACCAAGCCAGACAAAGACATCACAAGGAAATTACTGACCAGTATCCTTATGAATATAGATGCAAGAATCCGCAACAAAATACTAGCAAATTGAGTCCAAGAGTGTATTTAAAGGATTGTATACCATGACCAAGTGGGATTTATCCTAGGAATGTAAGGTCTCAGGTAGTTCTCTTTTTTTTTTCCCCCAAGTTGGGGGACTTTTTCACTAGAATCAATCTCTCTCTCCCTCTCTCTCTCTGTGTGTGTGTGTGTGTGTGTGTGTTTTAAATTTTTATTTCAATAGATTTTGGGAGAACAAGCAGGATTTAGTTACATAGATAAGTTCTTTAGTGGTGATTTCTGAGAGATTTTGGTGCACCCATCACATGAGCAGTGTACACTGTATCCAGTGTGTAGTCACCCCTCACAGCCTTTCCCCTGAGTCCCCAAAGTCCATTGTTTCATTCTTATGCCTTTGCATCCTCATAGCTTGGCTCCCAATTATGAGTGAGAACATACGGTGTTTGGCTTTCCATTCCTGAGTTACTTCATTTAGAATAATGGTCTCCAATTCCATCCAGGTTGCTGTGAATACCATTATTTTGTTCCTTTTCTTGGCTGAGTAGTATTCCATGGTGTGTATGTGTATGTATGTGTGTGTGTGTGTATATATATATACCACAGTTACTTTATCCACCACAGTTTCTTTATCCACTCATTGATTGATGGGCATTTGGGCCGGTTCCATATTTTTGGAATTGCAAATTGTGTTCCTATAAACATGTGTGTGCAAGTATCTTTTTCACATAATGACTTCTTTTCCTCTGGGTAGATACCCACTAGTGGGATTGCTGAGTCAATGGTAGATCTACTTTTAGTTCTTTAAGGAATCTACACATTGTTTTCCATCATGGTTATACTAGTTTACACTCCCACCAGCAGTGTAAAAGTGTTCCCTTTTCACCACATCCATGCCTGCATCTATTATTTGATTTCTAGAAGTATGGCCATTCTTGCAGGAGTAAGGTGGTATTGCATTGTAGTTTTGATTTGCATCTCCCTCATATGTAGAAGCTAAAAAGGCAAATTCACAGAAGCAAAGCGAAGAATGTTGGTTATTTAGAGGCCGGGGAGTGGGAAGATTGGGGAGATGTTGGTCAAAGGATGCAAAATTTCAGTTAGGAGAAATAAGTTCAAGAGATGTATTGCACCACCTGGTGACTGTAGTTAACAATATATTGTATTCTTGGCCAGGCGCAGTGGCTCATGGCTGTAATCCCAGCACTTTAGGAGGCAAAGATGAAAGGATCACTTGAGGCCAGGAGTTCAAGACCAACCTGGTCAGCATAGTGAGACACCCCCCCCCCCAACCCATCTCAAAACAAAGCAATATATTGTGTTCTTGAAAAATGCTGGGAGAGTGGATGTAAAGTGTTCTCACCATAAAAATAATGATGTGAGGTAATGCATATGTTAATTAGCTCAATTTAGCCATTCCACAATGTATACATATTTCCAAGCATCATGTACATAAGACAATTTTTATCAATTTAATAATAAATTAGGGGAAATAGGATGCGGTATGAGGTGCTTTTACTTTGGTGAATGAAATTTTTACAAGAGATATTTATGTCTACTATCAGATATTTTAGTCATTTCATACTCCTGACAAAGTCAGTATAAGTTATTGCAAAAAAAAAAAAAAAAATTATCTCTGGTTCCCAGCTAACCATGAGAAGGATCTGTTGTAAAAGCCTGATTATTGATAACAGGTCCTTAGTCCCAAGAGGAAGAGTCAGTGTTAAAGCCTTTTCAGAAACTTTCAAATCCATAGTTTCTGATTCAGGACTTTTCTGTATGGAATCTTATTCACTCCAAGCATGATATGATCCTCTATACTGAAATCTAGAGCTTTGTCTGTTCCAGAATGAACTTCTGTTTTGTTCTTTATATTTTTTAATATCTTTGTAAGAATTTTTGCATCATAAATGGTCTGTCTTATTGATGGGATTCAAAGTGTTTGACTTCTGAAGAAATAGAAGTTTTCCCACAAATGCTTTGTATATGTTGTCACCTGTTTGCTTCAAGTATGCGTGATAAGAGAATTAGGGGCAGGAAATACCATCTTCTGGGTGTGACACACGTAAGGCTTCCTTTAATATGCATGCAAACCTGACAGGTCAGTTTGCTGCTAGGTTAGGCAAATCTCTGTCCACTCCTCTTTCTTAGGCATATGACTTCTCTCCACTAGGTGTCTGTATTAGTCTGTTTTCACACTGCTACAAAGAACTACCTGAGACTGGTTAATTTATGAAGGAAGGGTTTGATTGACTCACAGTTCCACAGGCTTAACCGGAAGCATGGCTGGGAGGCCTCAGGCAACTTACAATCATGGCGGAAGGCACAAAGGAAAGCAAGCACCTTCTTTACTTGGTGGCAGGAGAGAGAAGAGAGTAAATGGGGAAGTGCTACACATTTTTAAAACACATCAGATCTCTAAGAACTCACTAAATGAGAACAGCAAGGGGGAAATCCACCCTCATGATCTAATCACCTCCCAGCAGGCCCCTCCTTCAACACATGGGGATTACAGTTTGACATGAGATTTGGTTGGGGATATAGAGCCAAACCATATCAGTGTATTTGCGTGATACTGAGACTGCTAGCGGTTGCGAATTGTAAATCACATATATCACATTTACGGGTTTTTTTTTTTTTTCTTACCATGATACATGTGACTATGGGTGATTACCCGGCATGTTTGAGCTAAGCCTTTATTACATAATTCACATTTGTAAGGCTTCTCACCCGTATGAGTTCTTACATGCGTTTTCAGCTAGTTACTGTGCATACATACATACCTTTCCACAGACGTGGCAGATATAGAGTTTGACTCCTTTATGTATACTCACATGCATTCTTAAGCTGATGGCTTCTAAAAACACTTTCTCACACGTTACACATCAGCTTGGCCTTGGAATGCTTCTGATCCAACTCTTTCCCCAGGGCTCTCCAGTTCATAAGGATTCTTGACATCGGCTGTATTAGACAGAGTGTTCTCTCAGACTATAGCTGGGTGCAAATTTTGACATGATTTCATTTCATTGTTAGAGTTTGCATAGAGACATCTTGTATTGGAAATGTATTTCCTACAAGTGACATCAACTACAGTTCTGAATTATTTCTTTGTGCAACAGCTTCTATTATGAGTGTGGACAATTCATTTACATCTAGAAATAATTCAACATTTGCACAATATAAAACATCACTGGGATATGGCACTCTTTTATTTTCTCCTGTTCTTTGGGAGCTGAACATCTTTTTAGTTTATGAGATAATGTCTTTGCCACAGGCTCTTGCTGAGTCACCTGAACTAAATCTGACAATTATTTTTTATTCCATTTTTGAATTATTTAGAAGAGCTTTTTCTTTTAATTTTCAGGTGGCTTGATTTTAGTTATTTTTAGATTTGATGCCTTACAGTCAGAAAAATGTGGCCTGTATAATTCCGTTTTAGGAATTGAGGTTTTCTTGATTTTTTGGGGGGTAAATGTTTGGACATTTGGAAGAACAGTTGGTTATTGGGAGGTATAAAGTTTTATTATAGTAGATTTAACCAAACTGATAATATTCACTATTTGTCTATTTTGCACGTGAAAATCAGACAATTGTGTTCCTTTATTTGACCTTCATAGGTAAGATTTTTTCAATCCTCCTGTCCCATGTTTCTTGTATCTTCATTGCTTCTCTCCTATCTGCTGTGTTTGTTTTTTCTGGTATTCCTTATTGCATCTCCTGAGTCTAGTTTCACGTTTATTTCTTCTCTATGTCAGCTCTTCATCTCAGTATCTCTTTCCTCCGAATTCTAGAATCTCTATTGACTCAGTTTTCTGAACTTCACTACCTGTATTTGTATTTTAGAGTTTTAGCAAAAATTAGTTTTCCTTTGAAGGAAACCTTTTTTGATCTGATTGTTCCTTTTTGAGAGATACAACATGGTTGTAAATTTTGTTTGGAATTCAATTTAGAAATTAAGGTTTTCTCTTTCCCTTCTGTAGAATGAGATTCTTTTTTCAGAATGCTACATCTTCATGTACATTTGATTTTTAAAGAATTGTAAATACCATGTGGGTCACATTGTTTAACTCTTTTAATATCTTAAGCAAAAATTTGTCTACTTCTGTAGTCTAATTTTTCTTGGTTGGAAATTACTAAAAGTATTAGAAAGATCGGGAAGTTCAGTGCTTTGCTAAGCATTTCTTTTCAGCCACTCAGTAACAGGCATCAATGGGTGCTGTTTTAAATATTCATTGCGGGGTTGAAAACTGCTCCCTGGAATCCTCAGCTGGGCCAAGCAAGCTTTTCCTCTATGTTCATTGTGGCAGCTTGCAGTTACTTGGTGCCTTATGCCCCTTAACTAGGTGGCCAAACCACTCCCATTAAATGCTTTCTGTAGTGAACTGTGGTGCCAAGTGAGCCAGAAAGCAAATGCTGCAATCTACATGCTTCCTGTCCAGCACACAGATCCCTTCCCATTTGCCCACTGCTCAGAGTTTGGGGGTCTTCATGGGTTCTTTTGAGGAGTCCCATAGACTTGATTTGCAGGTTGACTTTCACTGATGGCTAGAATTGTGGGCTGGTTGACACTGGTTGCTACTGCCCTCCATACATCCCCATCTGCTTCCTGTAATTTCTGACCCTGAGAGCCTATTCTCTAGTCCTTGAAAATGCTTTTGTTAGTTACACCAGTGGAATTTGGGAAGAGAATCTCAAATCGTAATCTTAAAATCAGAGTCTTCCTGCCACATGTGACCATTTGATTCACTGTCAAAGTGTATAGAGAATGCAAGCTATTTCCATATGCTAACCCAATTTTCTCCTCTCCCAACCCCAAATACCTTCCATATATCTTTTTTTGAATCTTGCACACCCAAATCAGACTAAATGATTTGAAAGAAAACAGAATTGGGGGATAGGATTTAGAAATTGCTGTAAATGTTAGCAGTTCTTGATCAAGGGAATGGAATTGCCTGAAAACTGCCTCAGTCCCCAGGAATAAATGCACAAGTCAGTCAAAAGAAAACAAAGTAATATAGAATGTAGTAACTGGCATTTTATTCCCACCACAGTGCAAAACTCTAGAGAGCTAGGCAGCACCACTTTTCTTGCACAATATATTATCACTGTCATGTTATGAAAGGGTGGTCAAAAGCACACCCACCAATGTTCACGAGGCAGGACAAGTGAGATGGTTTGACTGCTCTGAGAATAAGGAACTTGCAAAACAAAATCTCACTCACATATTCTATTAATATCTTTGAAATCTCCATCATAAAACATTACCTGGTCAATGTTCTAGAAAAAAGGCCAAGAGGACAAAGTCAAGTCAGGAAGTCTTCGGAGGAATGCAGGTGGGATACACACTGTGCATCTCCTACACAACAGTCCTCCAGTCTTCTGTGTGGAAAACTGAGCTGGGCAATACCTGAAATCATCATAGTGATAGTGGGATTAAAGACTAATTATGGGCCAGGTGCAGTGACTCACACCTATAATCCCAGCACTTTGGGAGGCTGAGGTGAGCAGATGGCGTGAGCTCATGAGTTCGAGGCCAGCCTGAGCAATATGGCAAACCCCTCTTTCTACTAAAAATACAAAAGTTAACTGGGCATGGTGTCACACGTATGTAATCCCAGCTACTTGGGAGGCTGAGGTGGGAGGATCATTTGAGCTTTGGAGTTTGAGGCTGCAGTGAGCCAAGATCGTGCCACTCACTGTACTCCAGCCTAGGTGAGAGTAAAATCCTGTCTCAAAAAAAACCAGATATGTCTCTGAAAATGAGCACCACAGTGAACCATTGTTGTGGTAACCAAACAGATTTGAAGTACTTTTCTATTTAAAGATCAGTCGTTTAAAAGGGACAACCCAGGGTGCAGGAAGCAAGGGGAAGGGAATACTGCACACACTATTTTAAAAAGTTGTCTTAAAAATTATCTTTGACATTCTATGCATAATTGAACTATAAGATGTGGTGGAGGATAACTCAATAGTAGATGAGGGAATTCCCTTATAAAAATATTCCAAGACTGGGCAACATAGCAAGGCCCCATTTCCTAAAAAAAAAAAAAAAAATAAGCTGGGCATGGTGACACCACTCAAGCCTGTGGTCCCAGCTACTGAGGAGGCTGAGGCAGGAGGATCACTTGAACCCAGGGGTTGGAGGCTGCAGTGAGCTGTGATCGTGCCACTGCACTCCAGCCTGGGTGACACAGTGAGATCTTGTCTCAAAAAATCCAGTTAACACATGACTGGGCTTCTGACAGAGACTATGAGAATGCATATAGACTTAAAAGACATAATCAATTTCATGTACTCTATTTAGACCCTAATTTGGATAAGCTTGTTAAAAAATCCTTGAAACTGTTAGAGAAACTTACCACTGGATATTCAGTGTTTAAATTATTTTGTAAGGTGTGATGAGTGTACTTTGCTTATGTTGAAAGTTTATTTACCAGTGAATTGATATGATGTCTGGGATTTGTTTCAACATAATCTAGGGGGAGGTGGAATGAAAACATAGATGAAATAAGAACGCTTATACATAGATAATTTTGGAAGCTGGGTAATAAATGGGGGATCATTATATCTCTACTTGCGTATGTTTGCAATTTTTCATGTATTAAAACAGTGTAGTGGAAATGCCTTTTTGAGACAGTTTCGCTCTGTTGCCCAGGCTGAAGTGCAGTGGCACAACCAGGGCTTACTGTAACCTTGACCTCCTGGGCTCAAGCGATCCTCCCACCTCAGCCTCCCGAGTAGCTGGGACTACAGGCCTATGCCACCATGACCAGCTAATTTGCATATTTTTTGAATGGACAAGAGTTTCACTATGTTGCTCAGACTGGTCTTGAACTCTGGGTTTAAGCCTTCCTCCCACCTCGACCTCCCAGTGTTGGGATTACAAGCATAAGCCATTGTGCCCAGCCTGGAAATGATTTTGAATTTAAATGTGCTTAATCACTGAAAGTGTTACCTACTATAATTCATTTGTGGTAATTTCTGTGTAAAAGTTGTAAAGGTTTACTACAGACCCTAACAAATTATCAGAACGTAATTTGCCTCTGAAATGACAAAGATTTTTTAAAAAAGAAAACTACGTATTCTTTTGTAAATAACATTCTAAAGTGGAATGAAAAGAAGTTCCTAACATATTCCAACTTTTATATAAAACCTGCTTATGTATAATTTTACCAATTTTTCCAATTGGAGTAATGTGCACTTAATACCCCAAATCTAACATTACATGTTCTAATAAAGGAAGACAAATGTGATGATTAGGTTTGTGAGACAGCATATTTCAGTCCAGACATATGAGTGCTGACACTAGAACTAATTTGATACTGTAAATTTCTAACTACACAGAAAAGATGCAGAATGTAGTGTTTGCTTTTAGTTTATTTATTTTGCAGGAATCTTTGACTTTCCGAATATGTACTGTTTGGAGGTACGATGCATGCAGAGCCTTTTAAAATGCCTTTGTACAATTTCATCTCAAAATGATTTCATTCACAGCATACACAGAAATCTAAAAGAGACATGGTATTTACAAGATTTAATAAGTTTTTGCTGCTTTAATGAAGAAACTGATCAATTCTTTTACAGTAGGGAAAGAAACATGGACATTTGGTATCATAAATAATTCAGAATTGTTCAGTCTTAAAGTAACTTTTCATGGCTTTAGAATTAAAATTGAGTCATCATTCTATTAATCTCTGAATGCCCAAGCCATGCAGAATCTACTTGTATTAAATATTTGGGGATGCAAATAATACAGGAAAAGAAGTCTGGTGAATGTGAAAGCGTCATCAGAATTAACTTTTACAATAGGCAAATACTGTTAATTCTTTCGAAAAGATAC